TGACAATTCCGGGTTATAGCGAATTCTCAAATAGGAAGCGTTTAGAACGTTCGATCCCCAAAATCGAAGGAATTTTTCATTTTTAACGAAGCAGAAGTTCTCTTCTACTTCATTACTCTCGTTTAACCCAGTACTATGCTCTATCGTAACCTGTCAATTAGTACACTTATGACCAAATGTGTGTGAGCGTTTGAATGCTAGCTGCGTGGTACATCAAAAGACTTTCATGCACAAATCAAGAAGATATGAGGGCTTCGAAATTAAAGGTATTTGCTCCTATTCGCTTCCATTTCCGCATGATTTTTCAGTAACTGCCCCAATACTTAAACATTAGCCTATTCCAAGGAAGAGAAGAGACGTCTGTCAAATGAAGCGTCTGTAAAATTCTGAACCGCGTTCCTCTTCTTCTCAGTTCATTCACTTCTGCTAGTAAGTTTTTGTATCTTGTCGTATCAAATTCGATGACCAAAGAAAAAGGCTATGACTATCTTACTTAGCTAGGTTTTCCCCCTAAATAATCTTGCTTACCGATCTTGTTAGAACCACAAGAGATGCGATACAGAGAATCAGCACAGCCAGAGAAATTGTAAAGTATATCAAGGCGACTAAGGTGGTATTACCAGGAAAGGCTTAATTTTTAAGTTCATGATTCTAAAATCATTTTTTTCCGCTAAAATGACGTACCAAGAAATACTACGATAGCTAGTACACTGATAAATGTTCCACAAATGTTGTTGCCAACCACAAGAGCATTCGTATAAGCAGCGGGAAAATCCGCTGTTAGACCAAATACAGAATTCTGTATACAAATATTTCCATTCTAAGCCTTTCTCAATCTAATGCTACATTAAACAATAGAAGGACCTGGTAAAAGCCGTTAGAAGTATTCAGCACTAATATGATTATCATTGTTACCACGTAAAACCAACCCATCGCTGAAAATAAATTTAACGGTGCGGGAATACAGAAAGCTTAATGAAAAGACCTGAGACCTTCTTCAGATGGCTTCTGTGCTACGATCAAAATTAGGATAACTAAAACGTTTATGCT